CTTCTTTATTTATAGGCTACTTTAATTTCACTGTATTCTTTGACGACATGTCTCGCTCCATATTCATATTTTACATTACAACGGGTCATTCTAAAACGTTCTGGCTAGTGAGTTTCTTTTACAGTTCTATTCAATTGACATTTGACTACTAAACCTCTGACATGGAGATTAATGTCAAACCAGCAATAGCCCCCCCCCCACATGGGGTCAGCAGAAACTGGTGGTAAAAACAACATTGACATAAAGTCACCTTTTAAGTTGATTGGGCTAACCTGCTAGCAAAGTTAGCCGTTAAGGAACAACATTATTATTCATTTAGATCTAGTTTGTGTCCATTTGATGAATCTAAGTCCAATATGTCCTGTCTGTCAGTGATGGTGACGACGCTTTACTAAATTCCTGTATGTAAACTCTACAGTGGGTTTTTAGAGCTTTTAATCTGAAGCCAGCCTGCTGCAGCTGAGAGTACTGAAACACTTGAGCTGAGCCTGACAGACACACAATGAGCCCAGAATCACTGAAAGCCAAGGAGAGCTGCAGATTCAAGGTAATAATTCTCTTTGCTGCTCACTACCAGTACTTTGCCATTGGGTCATTTTTCTTGAAGAACCAGTACTTGTTATACCTTAAGTACACTGAAGTGTTAATGCATGAACATTCATTCAAGTAATGTTTTCAATACAGTACTTTTACTTTAGAGTATAATATATCATTTTAACTTTTAACCACATAAAAGTGGAAAAGGGTCAGAATAAGCTACTTCTTCCATCACTGCAAAACATCCTGGAAGTGTTCAAAACATTTAAAAACCTGTGGATCTTAGTTTAACATTTACCTGATTCATACTTTACTATGTTGTTTTTCTGATCATTTTGACATGCTATCATTTCTTGTTTCTTTACATATTTTCATCATACTGTTTTTTTTTTTTGCATGTCCCTGATACTATGTAATTTTTTCCGAAATGTTTGACATGTCATGCTATGTCATTTTTACAGTATTTGTAACATACCATAAAATGTCCAGTTTTTTTTTTATTTTCAACATAAAATATTATATAGTTTTTTTCCATATTTTTTAATAGCTTTACTCTGAAAATGTCTGCATACTATACTGTGGAGTTCTTTCCGCTATACTATGAAGAAACAACATTATAGTACGTCAACATTTTCAGAAAAAACTACATAGTATAAATGTCGAACATATGCAAAAAAACGACGTGTAAAGTTTGATAGAATTTCAGATATAACTACATAGTATAGTTTGTCGAAAATATGCAAAAGAAAACAGTAACGTTTGTCCACATTTTCATGAAAAATAATATAGTTTTGTCGAAAATATGGAAACATTTTCAGAAAAGACACATCCCTCTTTTGACTTTTTAGATAAGGGTCTCCCCTTTTTATAAAAAGTTACCTTTTTAGATAAGTGTCCCCCTTTATGTCCGTAACCCATTTTTTAGATAAGGGTCCCCCTTATGCCCGTAACCAACTTTTAGATGAGTCCCCCTATGTATAAAAAATGTCGACATATTATACTATCACTTTTTTTCAACATGCTATATGACTTTTCTGTCATTTTTAACAACACGCCTGGTTTCTACACACTATACCTTTGCCGACTATACCGTTTTTTTTGCATATTTTCGTTTTTTTTGTTGTTGCATATTTACGTACACTATGTTGTGTTTCCAAAATGTTTGCTTTAGTATCATTGGACCCCTGGTGTATACAAGACGGCCGTGTAGAAGCTGAGCTGCCTTGGCTTGAATGCA